TGTTTGTCATGCAGAACAAGCTAAGGCTCTATGATTCCCTGCTCTCATCAATGCTTTGTGTGCAGCTCAGGATGTGGAGGTCAACCCTACAATAAAGATCAGGCCACCAATCAACAGAAGATTCATTAAGTGCAACTGCGTAAATCCTGCAGAACAAGCAGCGTCGGCACTACCACAGTCACCCAATCAGCCACGTAGAGCCAGGCAAGTAGCTCCACCACCTTCACAGCAAGATGACATCCAGCAAAGAATGATGAGCTACATGGAGTACTTGACACTGTAGCAGGCAGCAACCCATTAGGGTCAATGCAGCCTCAATTCAGATTTTCATAGACTGTCTTTGCAGATTGCTCCAAGATCGCAGTGAACATCTCCAGCAGACTTTGAGGCCTTACTCCAATGGTCTGGGGACAGTCCAACTTTTCAGGGAGGGGGTGAGGCTGAAGTGAAAGAGGAAGAAGAAGAAACATCAAGTGAAGATGAATAAGAGAGAGACAATTTAATTTGATTTTAATTTTTTATTTTGATGTGTTTAAGTTCTTTGTTTTGTTAATTTGATGTTTTTAAGTTTTTTTTTTGTTTAATTTGTTTTGTTTTAATGTTTTGAATTGACATTTGGAACTTAATTTGTTTAATGTTTTTAATTTGATGCGATTAAATTCCTTTACTATCCCACACAGTTTCTATTAGAACCATATATGAAATTATTGTGTATTGTCTAATTCAAATCTGGAACTTGAAAAATCATTTTGATTGTTTCCAATAACAAGTGATTTTGGGATGATGAGTATGATAGTGAAAAAGGAATTGATGAGGAGAATTAGGAATTAACTGAATTGGAGAAGCTAGCTAAAACCTAAGATAGGAGTGAACCAAAAACAAATAAATTGAGTGTCAACACTTTATGATGATAACTGGTATTGATTGATTCTTTGATGTGATTGCATGTTAGCGAGACTTGAAAATGATAAAGGCATTTGTTTGTGTAGTGAAAATAGATATAACCCAGAGTCAAATAGTCAACCCTGCATTAATTATAGGAAATCCATTTGAACCTCATTTGAGCCAAAAACAAGATTATTTCTTGAAACAGGATCCCTGAGCCTAAACAATGTTTATCCACCTTCTTATATTTGAGAAATGAAATGATTATGAATGTTATTGTTTTTCCTATGGGTATTGTTATTCTAAAAAAAAAAGGTGAGTAGAGCAAAAGGAAAAAGAAAAACATAAATATTGTGGCTAAGCCAAAATGATAAATGCAAAGCATGAGGAAAGGAAAAGAAAATTCAAAGTGGTGTAAATGATAACTGGTGAGATTGTTAACTCACTATCATTATGTTGAAGCAAAAGCATGAAGTTTGAAACCTAACTTGATGAAATGATAAACAAAAATCATTCATATAATTTCAATTTCTCAAATATTTTTGTATATCCTAGAAAAACCAATGAATTCCTTCTTAGCCCAGACCCATTATAAGCCTCAAAAGACCTTTTGATTTAAGTCTTGCTTAACAAATTTTGATTGCTTGAAGATGATTTTCAATATTGGAATATCTAAATGAAGTGATTGAATGAGATAAGCACTTACCCGTGAGAGTTAGAGATCATGCTTCTCTGAGGATAGTTGATGATTAATTATCCTTTGTTAGTTTTTGTAACTTTAATACTTATGTATCCTATTTTCATTTGGAGTTATGAGCATTGCATCTGGAAGAAATGTTATTTTTATGTTGTGGTTCTAGAAGAAAAAGTGATAATAGGTGATGATTTTATTTTGGAAAAATACTTTGTTTGGGGACAAACAAGATTCTAAGTTGGGGGAGTTGTTAAGTGGCAAAAGTTGATGTAATTATGCTTTGAATTATTATTTAACCACTTAAATTATGTTGATTCTAATATATTTTTCTCCTAATGTAGGATGAATTTACAGAGTACCTAGATACAAGAGCAAGAATCATAATTCTCAAGTTAATTAAAGAAAAATTGGAAAAAGGAAAGAAGATTTTCAGCCTAAGATTCGCTCAAGCGGGATAGACGTTTTCTTGAGCGATAATACGTTAAACTTCTCTGGAAGTCAGTCGCTCAAGCGAGCAAATTCTCACTTGAGCGAAAAACATTAATACTCGTTTGAGCGAAAGTATCCACTTGAGCGAATGACGCGAAAGTTTTTTATAAATAGATCAGATGTGTTTTGAGAAAGAGAGTTTTTAGGGTTTTGAGAAGAAAGGTGCGGCAGTTGATCGAGTTTTCGTCCAATCTTCAATTCTTATTTATTTGGATAATTATAATGACCATCATGAATGACTAACTTCATTCTCTTAGGATTGAGTGCACTTCATTTGAACTTTTTTGTATTTTTGTGATATTTTGAGATATTAATCTATGTTCTTGATGTTGATATTCTTGTCATTTGTGCTCTTTAATGTTTATCTTTGATGTTTTGGGATGTGTTGGAAAATATATCTTGAAACCCTAGATCAGGTTAAGAATATTTGTTACATTAATTGCTAGGAATGGTAATGGATATATCAATTACTTAACACCCTAAACCTAATGTTGGGAAATCTATTAAATGTACGAGGGATCGACGTTAATTAGGCTTTCTTATAAATTTTATGTGCGAGGAATCAATGTGAATAATTTAAGTAGGTGACATCAACATTGATAGGCTAATTGATGTTCTTAATTTAACCTAGCCATTATACAAAAGAGGGAAAATGAATGAAACAAATCCTAAATTCTTTTATTTGATATTTTCGAAAGATAATTTATAGTTCTTTGTCATTTATTTTCAACCTAAATCGTTATGAAAAAACAGTTTTGTTTTATTAATAATATTGGTGCGCCTGTCAATTATTCAACACTTCACCATTGAAATTATTCTTAAGACTATCTTAACATAAATCAACATTACATTTAAGATTGATTTGTAAAAAATAAAAACATTTCTCTTGGTGTAAACATAAACAACCAACATGCAAAAGTTAACAACTGAACAAATATTATTGATCCTTTCCAAGACTGTTTTCCACATGTGCTGAATTTATGGTAATATATATATATATATATATATATATATATATATATATATATATATATATGTGTGTGTGTGTGTGTGTCAAAATCCATCTAAGTTTAATTTTGTAACAACTTCGCGTATCACAATAGTTATTTCATACAATATAAATGTAAAGGAGATTCTATCATGTAGGAAAGAATAAGAATGAAAAATGATTTTCCACAAACTATAACTCAACCCACATTTTTTTTTAATATCTAAAGTCAACTAGACTTTATTCTTCAAACAACAAAGAACTCTTATTGAAAATCGTTCTCTATATGATGTTAATTTTTTTCATTAATAAACTTGTTATATATATAGTCTATTTCATAATTAGTTTGCTGGTGAGTGTGATAAAAGATACTATATCCTTAACTCATGGAAATTAAAAAAGATTTTCATGAGTGACAATATATATTATTTGTAAATCAAAAGTGGTAAATTATATACTTATATAATATTTTTATTATAATAGAATCTTCTAGACATAAACACAAAAATCACAATTTTTAAAGAGATAAGCGGATAAAATATAATTAATTATGTCATTTATATTTCATTAATATTTATACTATATAACTGGTTATATTTATCATAAATATTTATGTTCATAAGTTAAAAAATAATATCAAAATAATAAGTAAAATTATTAATAATAAATAACTTTTTCTTATTTTTTTACTTACTTTTACTTTGTTTCAACTAACCTAAATAATCTCATTTTATATTATTTTCATCTAATTTAAATAAAACATTAGAGTTATTAAAAAAAGTGCAAAAAATAAAAAGAATTTGTAATATTTATAATCCATTGAATATTGAATAGAAACAAGAAAAAAAAATAGCTTATGTAACCAAAAGACTAAAATAACCTTATATGCTTTTTCGTTTATCTTTTATTACACAATATGCATATGCCTTTTTATACATTATTATTCTCTTCTTTTTTTACTTTGTACAAAATGAAACTAGAGAAAAGTAAAAATAAAACTATTATTTTCTAAAATAAATAACCTTCAAAATTGTCTCAATTTTTTTTTTGTCCATTTCACTTTCTTGCATGCATAATTTCCAGTGCAAATTAAAACAAAACAAAAAAAAAAACAGTACTTTTTTTGTCAATTGAAATTGTATTGTCTTTTTTAATAAAAATAAAACAAACTCTAATTATAATTTATATTATTAAAAATTATACAAAATATAATAAATAGTCTCTCTTCACTTGATTAGAAAGATGTGAAGTAAGAAACTATAATTATATAAAATTAAATTTCTATCCTTTTGGTTCAAAGAAAAACAGTGGTAAGAACATTTTTCTTATAGATCATAAATTGAGGTTCTAAAAACATGTTGCAAACTCATCAATCTTAGGTCAATCCAATATAAAGTAAAAGCCTATTCAGCTGCACCAGCAAAATACTTACAAATATAAATTTTATCCCTATGGTTTATATCAAAACTAAGGGAAGGTATCAGAAACAACTTTTTTGTGTATAGTTTTTAGATAGATGATGATGTGAAAAACTCTTAGAAGTTTCCCAAATGAGCGAGCAAAAGTTAAAAATTACAAATAATTTTATCATAACAATCCAAACATAATAAATAGCCTAAGAGGTCTTTGAGATCCGCTCAAGAAGAAAAGGAAAAATTTTAAGGGTTCAACAAGAACTGTAATGAAAAAAATAATAATAATAATAATAATAATAATAATAATAATGAGGCCTCAACCATCCTTTCTAATTTCTGACAACTGTACATCATGTCATATAACCTAGTAGTTGTCACGACAAAGTTCCCATGTTAGTTTCATTCAGTTACCATGTCAGCCACTGCATCACCTGAAAACAAAAAAATAAAAAAGGTTACAATGTGGTGAAAGATTATTGACCTCAAAGTGGGAACATCATATCATACGACAAAACAGTATCATAACCTTCTATTCATCTGGCAAAGATATGTTGATGTCTGGGGATATCCTCTGGTCTGAATATTCCTCAGAACCATTCCAAGTAGCAGCATCAGGTGTAGCATCTAGGTTCTGTTTGTCACTTGAAACACTGACTGATTCTCTCCGGGTTTGATCTGGTATCTGAGACATGGGCATCAGAAAGTTTTCACCCTCAGCATTTGCTTGTGAGATAGGTCTTGCAAATGTCACAGTTTCTGGAACAGCTGAAGTAGGGGAGACCACTGTCTGTTGTTCACGCTGATACTTCTTCTTTTGGCTTTTGTGACCATTTTGCGTGAAACTCCCAACTACAATCTGAAACCATTGTAGAAAAGTTCCATTAGAAATAGGTGAATGAGTCATAAAACCATGAACTCTTTTGTGCTGAAACTGATCTTATGTCAAAAATAGAGGACAAAAATGAACTACATTATCAATCTACTCACTTCCAACTTTCAACAGTTTAAATGAAAACAGTACAGATTATGAAATCTTTGTCGTGCAACCTAGAACAGAATTATCTTGAAATATACTATTTATATTTATATCCATTCTGTATTTCATAACAGTCAAGACAAAATAACAGTTTAGAAGGATCATTTTGGTCTATATAGATAGGATAAAAAAATAAGGTTAAAAGCTCAAGAGTCAGTCTAAGTAGAACCACATTTGAGTACTTGACATACCAAATTTATTCTTAAAAGCAAAAACAGGAAATCTCTTTAGAAAGAAATAAAGAAATATCATACTTGGATGGGACCAGCAGCTGTTAAAAGTCCAGCAACACCACCTCCTATCACTCGACCATCAGGGCCAGCAAGTGAGACACTCAATCCGCCAGTTCGACTTTTCATGCCACTGTTGTCGGCGACAGTGAATGATCCAGACAAAGATAAAATCTCAAATCGACCCTGAAAGTAAATGGTGGAATGAATTATTGAACAATTTCCAAAAACAAATAAGCATGGTTGCATGCATGTCAAAAGGGTTATGTCAATAACAAGAGAAAATGCAAAACAGTCGAAAATGACAGGTCATAGGTGACATTGACATCAGACAAACTACCACGTTAATGTGTTAATGTTCAAATATTTAATACAAAGATGTGCATTTGCAGAGACGACCACGTTAATGTGTTAATGTTCAAATATTTAATAGAGAGATGTGTATTTGCAGAGACTACCACGTTAAGGCGTTAATGTTCAAATATTTAATAGAAAGATGTGCATTTGCAGATGAATAATAATGCACACAGATGAACTATTCACATCATTACCATCGTGTATTGAATCTATGCATTTCTCGGTTGCACGACAAGGAAGGCTCATCTTTAAGTCTATAAACTAGTTGTCACTTATCATCATATCGAAATACTCAAGCCTATAGAAAAGCTAGTTTAATAGCTTATCATAGTGTTTTTGTTAGAAATTATGACTTGGTTTAGATATACTTTTCAAAAGGTACCCACAGAGAAAGAAAACAAGGTAGAATAAATCACTACATTTTATCCTCATATTTAACTTAAAAAAAAAAAAAAAAAACTAATGCAAATAAGCTGATTTTAAGTTAAAAAATTTCTATATATTTTACCTCCTATTCTTTTCCCATATAAGTGAATGTTTGTAAAAAAGTTTAGCCAATCTAGCCTTATATATCACCCCAATAACTGAAATTCAGCTTGTGGATTAAGATAGCCTACAAAATTATGACTTTGATATTAGTTGAAATGTTTCACTAGATTTAAAATGATTTTAACACTTTGCTAAAGAGGACACGGCTAGAAACGTGTGTCTATCTTCTTTAGCTTGTGAATTGTGTCTCTGGTATGCTTTCTTTTAGCATATTAGTAATTAACTTATTTCCCATTTTCAGTGTTAGACCTGACACTGGAACTGATGAAATGAAAGGATAAACCAATTCTCTAGCATAGCCCCAATACACCAATTTTGAGCATATATCCAATACATAAGACAGATAACTTGTCCAACCCCACAAACAAGAAGAGACAAACCGAGATCACCTGACATAAATACACCCAATGCTGTCCTATATGGCATCCATATTCTATATTGGCAGAAGACATAAAGCTAACACATGAAATTATTTTAGACATGATTCAAATTCAATCAAAGAGAGCTTAATATCATGGATTTGAAAATATAATCAAAACCTTTAGATGAAGGGAAATACGATATCATATTTTAATCAAAAAGAAAAACATTTAGATCTAAGAAACCATGCCTCATAAGTTAATATGCCACCAGAAGAACCGGGTTGGCGTATGGTGACATTTGAGATAGCTCCATTTGCAGAAAGAATGCATATTCCTCTTGGACCCTTCTGAGCAAATGACAAGATCTTTCCTGCAACATCCTGCAAAGTAGTAAAGTAACAAGATCTTTATCCAAATCTCCGAACCCAAAAGATCTGTCAAATTTGCTTGAGAAAATTACACCAAATGCTACACTATCACATAAATCTGCAAAAAGACAACAATGGATACTGGCTTCTACATTACCTCTCCGGTATAAACAGTCACCACATGGGGTATGAAATCACCAGCAGCTGTGTTTGCAAAAACCTCACCTTCGAACATCACAGACAGAAAACCAATCAACACATTAGCCATATATGGTTTAATAATTTTCATTTCCAAAATTAGAAGCCCCCAGGTGAATAAACCCAGAAAAGAACAATTTTTTTGTTGGCAGAAAACAGTCTTGCTGAAGCCAGATAAATCTATTAAGGAGACAAAACTCTCTTTTTCTTATCGACAAATCTCGAATTAAAGACAACTAATTATACTGAAAGAGGCTGGAACCAGTGGATCCACTCTCTAAGCAGTAAAAGAACACACTTTTTCTAGCCATAGAAATCAAATGAATGTACACGCCAACCTTAGATTATTAACCACAGAAAGGAAAGTTCACATTTTTTGGAACAGCTTCACAGTCCCAAATACATTACCAGAAAGAAGCAAATGAGGAGGAAAAGCCATCATTTGCATCAATCAAGGCACCCTCTAACAAATGAGGCTCAAATCTCGATCCCAACTTCATGAACCCAGAACAAAAAAAATATAAATAAAGAAAGAAATCTGAGACACAGCCCAAGACAGTGGAGCTACAAAACCATGGGCAAAGGGTAGGATTAGCTGAGATTCATGATTTGGGCAGGCAGGTAAGGAAATGAAGGGGAGGAAAAAGAAAAAGGTTGAGCTAGGAACAGGGATATTTGGTTGGCGGGTAAGTCAACTTGGGGACGAAACAGTACAATGAGTGAGGTCAGCACTCAGCAGCAGCAACATCACAACACCTGAGAGAAACAAAACAACGTTGTACCGTACCACTACTCACCAAAAGAAGAAAAGAGTTGGTAGTTTCCAAAAGCTGTGTGTTTGCCACGGCCCCTTTTGTTAGAAAACTCAGGAGGTGTGGACAAAGTGAAACCTGGTGGAGGTGGTGTTGGGGTTGCACTCACCCTCAGGTTCCCATCGGCGTCATACTTTCTCGGCCTCCCTCTCTTCTTCTTCCCAAACAAGTCAAAACTCCCTTGCCCCCCAGTGCTCCCTGGTGTTGTTGTCGCCAATGTTGTTGTTGTCGTTGCAGCTGGCACTGAAGGAACCATTGTTGTTGTTGGTGGTGTTGGTGCTGGTGTTGGTGTGGTTGTTCCTTCTGTGTTTCCCACGTTCATGTTCATGTTAACATTCATGTTCATTGGCTGAGACACCACAGAGGGTGTCACTGATGGTGGTGGAGCCGCCCCTGCAGAAATGGGGTTGCTGTGGAGTGCTGCTTCCATGAGGGTGTTTTTGTTTCCAGAAATGGAAGGAGAAAAAGGATGGAGTTTGAACAAGGAAGAGGCTGCAAATGGCGCCAGAAGTAGAAGGAACAGAGAAGGTGTAGGCTTTTTCTCTTTTTAATCTTTAGAGGTAGAAATTGTGAATACTTGAATACAACTCAACTCAGTTACTCTCTCTTTCTCTCTCTTCTCTCTCTGTCTCTGTGCTTTGGCATTAATGGAGGAGAATGAGGCTGAGATGGGAAACTGCTATTTTCTTGTCGGGACTCCACTCTGCATTATATTATTTTAATTTGTGTAAAGTTGGGTTTAAATATTAAAATGTGTGAAGGGTCTCTTGTAATCTATGAGGATAATCACACATACTAATGTCCTATACCCAAATTGTCCCTCTTAACCGCCCTAAGGATTTTTAGGTCCAGTTGTTTACATTTTTTTATAATTAAAAATTTCTTTTGCAAATCAATGCATCTTTAAATGTTGTTTTAATTATTTTTATTTTCTTTTCTATATATATTACACATTTAATATTTTTTACTTTTCTCTGATAACTTATAATTTATAAAATCAAAAGACAAATAAAGAAATGACAAAATGAATGAGATATTCGTTTTATTTATTAACAGGTTTTTTTAAAATGTGAAAGTATTGAGTGTAATTTTGTAATATTAATTAAATATTGAATGTTTAATTATATATATATATATATATATTACATTGCGGGTAAAACACATGAAAAAAAATTTAAAAAGTAAATATATATATATATATAGATATATAAAACATAATGTATGTAATTATATGTATTTTTTATTATCTAGAGTCTTCTAACAGGAAAGAGCAACAAAATAATGTCAAATTCATTAAGATTTTTCTTGTTAATTTTGACATAAAAGAGAGAGAATAAACAGTTTTTAGAACTAGATATTTTAAATATTAAAATTGATTTTTTATATTTATTACACATTTAATAGTGTTTTACGTTTTTTAATGTTACATTACTTTTTTGAAGATATTAATGTTTAAATGCGTAAAAAGAGGAGGGAAAATAATAAAAACTTAAAATTCGTAAAAATATAAAATTAAATAAAAGGATGATAAAATAAATGAGGTATTACGTTGTTATCAAGAGTTTTTTTTTCATAATGTAAGTATATTTAAATGTAATGCTTTTAATATTAATTAAATAGTGAATAATAAATTTTCATTTTTAAAAATATTGCATGGAAAAACATAAACAAAGGAAAAAAAAGATAAATAAGTTTGAAAAGTAAAAATAAGAAAAGACTTGAGACAAGTAAATTAGAAAGAGCAACAAAATACGTAAGATTTTACAGGTAGATTTTGATATAAAACATGGAAAAAACAGCTTTAAGAATTAAACATTTTCAATATTAAAGTTGTTTTTTTCCTTTTTTTCTATTTATTACACGTTTAACATTTTTTTACAGTTTTAAGAATTAAACATTTTAAATATTAAAGTTGTTTTTTTCTTTTTCTTTTCTATTTACTACACGTTTAACATTTGTTTTTCCTTTTAAATCTTACGTTTAAATACGTGAAAAGAGGGAAAATAAAAAGAAAGAAATGACTAAAAACTTAAAGTACGCAAAAGAGAAAGTTAAATAAAAAGGAGAAAAATAAATGAGATTTTCAATTGACTTGTCCTCAAGAGTTTTTTAAAATGTAAATATAATTAAATTTAATACTTTTAGTATTAATTAAACATTGAATGTTGAATTATATTTTTCTAATGTTGCGTGTAAAACACATGAGAGAAAAAAAAGATAAAATAGGTTTGAAAAGTAAAAGAGGACTTATAGAATACAAATTATATATATATATATATATATATATATATATATATATATATATATATATATATATATATATTGTTTAGAGTCTTCTAAATAGTGAAAAACAACAAAGTAACGTAAAGTTTATTTAGATTTACGTGTCAATTTTGACATTAGAGAGAAAAATCTTATCTGGAAAACTTTTGTTGTTATAACCAACTTTATCTTTGATCGTCTTTATTTTAGTTAGTCGGCTTCTGGTTCTTTGTGAACTAAGTAATCACGTTGACTCGATGAAAAGATAAAGAGTTATAACAGCTTTTAGAAATAAATATTTTAAATATTAAAGTTGATTTTTGTTAATATTTATTTTAAATTAATAAAATTTTGCGTTTTTTTAATGTTACATCTGAATACGCAAAAAGAAGAAGCAGAAAAATAAGAAGTAAATAAATAAAAAAATCCGTAAAAACATAAAAATAAATAAAATTAATAAATAAGATATTTAATTGACTTATTATCAAGAGGTTTTTATAAGTATTTTTTTAATATTAATTAAAGATTAAATTATTATTTTTTAATTATACGAATAAAATTCATGAAAGAAAAAAATTGAAAATTTAAAAAGGAATGGTAAAAAATATTATATACAAGTAAAATATTTATATTTTCATTATTTTGAGTGTTTAAAACAGTGAAAGAGTAACAAAATAATGTAAAATCTATTAAAAAAGAAACAGCTTTTAGAATTAAACACTTTTAATATTAAAGTTTATTTTTTATTTTAATATTAATTATATATTTTTTATTCTCATTATTTTTAATTTTACGATTAAACGTGTAAAAAGAGGATGAAAAAGCAAGGAGTGATAAAGAAAAAACTCAAAGTGCACATGAAGAGAAAGATAAATAGAGGATAAAATAAATGAGGTATTTGATTAACTTGTTATCAGGAGTTTTTTAAAATGTAAACATACTTAAATGTAGTTTTTTAATGTTAATTAAACATTGAAAGTGTTTTTTTTTTAAATATTAAGTTTAAAATGAATAAAAAAAAGTTTGAAAAAAAAAATAAAAGAACGATAAAGAAAACTCTATAAATAAATTATAAAAAAACAGGTTTAGAAGTAAACATTTTTAATATTAAAGTTGGTTTTTTAATATTAATTATATATTTAATATTTTTTTACTTTTTTACTCAAATGTGTAAAACAAGGGTAGAAAAAAAACACAACTTAAAGTTTTTAAAACAAAATAAATAAGATATTTGATTTACTTGTTATAAGAATTTATTTAAAATATAAATATATTTAAAATTTCATGTTAAATTATATATTTTGTTAATATTATGTGTAAAACACATGAAAAAAATATAAATAAGATTGAAAATTAATAAAAAATAGTATTTTATTTAAAAATTTGTAAATAAATAAATATATTTATGAATTTCACATCACTCAAAAATTGAAATAAATGATAATTTATATATTTTTTATCTCTTAATTTATCAAAATTTATTTTAAAAATAAAATCAACTAACAATCTTACTATAATACACCTTGTACTACTAAACTCACACCTCTTCGGATTGAGTTCACTTAAGGCACAACTCATAGCACCCTCAAATAATTCTTCTCACATTTAAACTAAAAACAGAGTTATCTTATTTCATTCAAAAATAAAACTAATGGATGTACATTTCAAACACACAATTTTAAAGGGCACAATAGTAATTGAAGGGGAATGCAGCTGTCTTTGATTAAAAAATCAAAGAAAGAAAGAAAGAAAAGGCAGTAAATTGTGAGGAGGAGTTTCAAAGTTTGAGGAATTCTTGGAGACGAAACCTGCCGATATTAAAAAAATGCAGTCAAACTGCTGCTCCTCTGTTAAAGCCATAAATAAATGCCTTTTTCGTTAATTTTTTCTGACCAAAATAAAAAGTCTGAAACCCTATATTACGTTTCCCAACTCACTTCAATTTCGAATCCAAATTTTAATTATTCCTTCTCTCCCCGTAATAACTTCAAATTTCATCTCCGAACTATTTCCCTTACACACACACACAACCCTACTTTCCCAATTTTCTCCTCCATTTATTATATTATTCCGGTCACATCTATATAACAGTATAATTAGAATTATTTTTAAATATTTATTTGTTTTAAAATTTTAATTCGTAATAATTTTAACATTTTGATAAATTTTAAAAAATATATAAATTATATTTAACTTCAACTCAAAATTATAATTATAAGTATATCAAAATATTTATAATAATAAGTTTTTATTTATCAAAAAATATCCTAAAAACAAAATTATAATGAACAAAATATTTAAATCATCAATTAGTTTGATGTTTAATCAATTTATTAGTTTTGAGGGATGTTGTAAATAATTAATCAGGATTCATGGTTTAGGTCTGAAGAAGCATTTGTCTTAATAGGATCAGAATCAATTTCTTCGTTAAGAGAATGATAGATGAATTTATATCTTATTTTTGATAAAAAAAAAAAGTGTTTGATTATAAGAATTTGGATTATTAATTTATTTGGCATAAGAAATATCTACTTATAATATTTATTGTAATGATGATTAATTATGACTTACACCTAATTATATTAATATATTATATAAAGATATTATAATTTTTATCACTTAAAAATATGGTTTACATTTTATTAGTTTTTGATTTTTATCTAATTTTATAAATCATTTTAAAATTTATTTAATTTTAAAAATAAAATTTATGATAAAAGATAAAATGAATTTAGTTAAAAAATATAAAATGAGATTATAAAATAAACGACCTTATATTGCATTATGAAAATTGATTTTTTATATAGTGTAGTGATTTTTGGAATTTAAGGATTTTATATATATATATATATATATATATATATATATATATATATATATATTTGAAATATTAATTTTTTATACGAAGAGAAAAAAAATCCACAACTTTTTAAATAAAAAATTATAGTGGTTAAATTTGTATGATTTAAAATCATGGAGTGAATCTTATTTTTTCTTAAATGATTATAAAAAACAAACAGTTTATTATAGAGGAAGAAATAAATTATTGTGATCAATATAAAAAAGGAAGGAAATGATAAGGATATCTTATTAAAAGAAGTTTAATCATATTTTCAGTTGAGTTATTGATAGTTTATACTTGAAACAAATAATTAAAAAATAAACTAA